ATCTGTCTTCTAACTTCAGGTTTTATACTTATAACATAAAGATAATAATACCGTCTTCACTTTCTATACATGGAATAAGTTCAGGTGTATAAGAGCACTTATAAAAACTAGTAAAATAATGCCATCCAACCCCCTAAATTTACCCAGTTTTTAGAATTCTGTGTTTATACTTCTCTGGCTTTAATTTGTAAAAACAACTCATGTATATGAGTTGAACTGGAAAATGTGTTATTCACTTATATATACATTCCTTTTTTACCACAAGAAAAACACTTTAAAAAGTAAAGCCAAAAACAACTCCCGCAGGTTGTATGTACTCCAAAATGGATAATTTTCAACATGGCTATGAACTGTTAGACTTAATGGAATCATAACTACGCTTATGTACAATTTGCTTTTCTCGTGCAACACTGTGTTAAGATCACTGGTATTTGTTTTGTAAGCAGGTCTTCTGATTCAGCGTCTAAGAGTGTGTCTGAGCATGTGTTCTCTATCCCTGTTCATCTCTAGGGTGAAGCACTCTAAGGGCATTGGCTACAGTGTGTTGTGCTGCCAACTACAAGGAACAAGACTCCAGCAGTTCAAAGTCACCAGCAGCTCCTGGGGAAGAAGATGCACAGTCTCCTCTTATTACGATTATGAAGCTATGCATCAACTCCACGGCAGTGAGTTTGGGTTTGATTTATAGACGTGGAGGTTGTTAAGTTGTAGGGAGCTTTGGTGGCCTGGTGGTAAGGATATTTTCTGTTAACACAGAGACATGCTGTTCAAATGCAACAGCTGTTCCAGGAAAAAGAGGGGTAGTCTCCTCATATGCAACTTACTGCCTCTGAAAATCCACTGGAGGGGCAGCTATGGGTCAGCTCGGACTCAAGGGGCCATAACGTTGCTAAGTTGTCAAGATAAGCACTTTAAAAAATAATGATAAATTGTTTTCCAAAGAGGTTGTATCCCTTTACACTTACAACTCAGCATATAAGACAACTCATGTGGAATTGAGTGGAAGAGGTTGGGTTGGGTTGGGTTGGGGATTTTGTCAACATTTGGTATTTTCAGAGTTTTGAAGTTTTGCCAACTGGTGGGTGTTACATGGCTTCTTTCTGTGGTTTTATTTTGTATTTCTCTAGTTACTGATGGATTGAGCATCTTTTCACATGTATATTGGCCATTTGTGTTTTCTCTTCTGTGAAAGGCCTATTCATGCCTCATCCTGTGTTTCTATTGGTCCTTTGTCTTTGTTTCAGTAATTTGTAGACAATCTCCATAGATTTTGGACAGTAACCCTTTGTCAGGAATAATGACCTCTCCCAGTCTGAGGCTTGTCTTAACATATTTTCCTTTTTTATGGCCTCCATTAATGAACAGAAGCTTTTATTTTGATGTAGTCAAATTCCTTCATCTTTTCCCTATTGGTTTGTGGCTTGTTTAAAAAATTCCTTCCTTATTCTCAAATGATTTCCTTCCCCTCTACTCAAAGTGCATTTAAATATTGCACAACTATTGAAAGCCACTATGCTCCATCTGAAGACCCTAGAGAATTATTTGGGGGTAGCCAGTTCACAATGGAGGACTGAACATAAATATTTATTCTCCTTCCTTTTCAAAACACACTGAAATGGCAGTAAAGACGTTCATAAAGGGTAAGAGGGAACTCATAATCACATTCAAAACTTGAGGGTAGCAACAAACCCAGAATTCCAACAAATTTTAGGAAGAAATGTGAAACCTGAAGTGAGGGGGGAGTCATTTCCCCTGTCCCATAGGCTTCTCTAGAGAGTCGGTCAGAATGTCAGGATGGTTGATGGATGAACTGCCTACAGAACAGCTGTATCCAAGGGTGTAGGCTGCCATCACGGGCCTAAAACCACCCAGAAAAAAATGAAGATAAAATTAGGAGTAAGGAAGGCAACTACTATGGCTGTTAGGCTGTTGACTTCTGAGTGTAAAACTATCATCATGTTGGCCTGAGATTACATGTTCATGTGTCCAGCTGTGTGCTCCAAGCTGGAGAGTGTGTGTGAATGTGAAATCACCACAATGACCAGCCCTGCAATTCCAAAAAAGAGCCGCAAACTAGGAAAGAGAACTCATACAGCTGCGTGCACAGTTAGCTGATCTGCTCCTTGAGAGAAAGACCTTATAGCACAAAAAGAGAAATAGAGACAGAAACTAAGATGAACAAAGAGAGGTCACCTCAGGAAAATAGATGTAGTGGTGTGGTTTTTTTTTGTTTGTTTGTTTGTTTGTTTTAAAAAAGAATCTCTAATAATTGCCACCAGTAGCTATCAAGGAGTTGGTCCCCAACTCAAGGGGACCCCATATACAACAGGATTGGACTGTCATTGAGTTTTCATTGATTGTTTCCCAGAAACAGATCACCAACATTTCTAATCCATCAGTCTGGAAGCTCCACTGAAACCTATTCAGCAATAGAGCAACAAACACTTCTTCACTGACCTATGAAGGGTGGCTGCACTTGGGGTATATTGGTCACGAGTAGACCTCACATCTTCTGCATGAAAGTCAAGAATCCTGCCATTGTGCCAATACTGCCCCATCAAGTATAAATAAGCAGATAAACAGTCAAGAAGATATTACACACATAAGTCAAGAAGAGCATTTAAAAAGAGACACAGAGAGAGGCAGCAATTGGTAACTATTATCAGAAATAATAAGTATTAAAGGAGCAGATACTATGTTGGGGTGGTCAAGTCTGATGTTTACCCAGTTCATAAAGAGGAACTATCCCCATCCATAACATCCTTGTGATTGTTGTTATTAGGTGCATCAAGTCAAGTACAACCCATAGCAACCCTATGAACAACAGATCTGAATCTGGTCCTATCCTGTGCCAGCCTCACATTTCCTGACACACTAGAGCCCCTTGCAGCAGTCACTGTGTCGGTCCACCTGGTTGAGGGTCGTCCTCTCCTTCGCCGACCCTCTACTTTTCTACAGCATCATGTTGCTCTCCAAGAAATAGCCCTTTCTAGCAATATGCCTGTAGTATGTGAGGCAAAGCTTTATTATCTTTGCCTCCAAAAAACATTCTGGCTACACTTTCTCAAAAATATATTTGTTCTTTCACTGTAACATCCATAGTACCAAACAAATATGTTCAGACACATCACACACACCCCCCATGCTCCTGCTCCTATTTCTATGAGTCATTGGGTCCAATGTTAGTTGCAAACTGACTCACAGACTTTACTCACAGTTGTGAGGTTTATTAGGGAAATAGGTTGGGGTTAAAGGAGACAAAGGATATCACGCAGTTAAAGTCCAAATTTAGTTAACTGCAGCCCCAAGCCAGACTAACAGCAAGACACAATCCCTCAATTAGTTCAGACAGCATTTCAGCCCACAAGTGAAAGTCTAGGTTCAGGTCAGCAAAACAAATAACCTCTGGTTTCCTCCATTGTCCAGCAAACTTTGTTGCATAGCTGTCACAAGTCAGCTTTTCATTTAGTCATCCAGGAAAAAAAAAAAACCACCTTTATCTTTGGCTCCATCTCCAGGGTTCTGTCAGATTACACCTTGCCACATTCCCTTCACACTCTCTCCACAGTACGGAAAGTGCTCTCTTCTTAGTCCCACAGCTGTTGATGATGTGCAAGATCATTTGTTCATTGTTAACGTAGCTGGAGACCATGCCCCCAGCAGAGGCTAACACAATGGACAGAAAAAAACCATTTTCCAAATTCTAACACCACAATAACAAAACAAATCTTTGTTAAAGTACTAGAATAAAAAGTCAAGAAAGTCCTCAAGAATCACATAAAAGTCAACCTACCATATCCAATGTGATGAAATGATATAAAAAAATGGTTTGGCATTTAACTTCTTATATACTAAGCAAAAAACAAACAAAACAAAGTTTAAAACACAGTTTTTCTGTACCTTGAAATGTTTTGATAAAAAATTTTAAATAAAGAATTTTCTGGCTTTGTTTCTTTTCTGCTTATTTTTTTTTAAAATTTAGATATTGAACTACATATTCATTAGCTAAATATTATCTAAATGATCAAGAGCTCTGGTAACCTTATAAGAAACTGCACTGCCAACTCAAAGGTCACATCTTTGTGGTGATTTTAACCCACCAACTGATCTACTGGAGGAAGAAGAGCAATCTTCTCCCACGTGACTTACAGCCTTTAAACTCAATGATGAGTCAGCTGTGAGTCAGTTCCAACCTGATAGCAATGAACTGTGAGTGAGAATTGAAGAAATATGGAAATTAAATTATTCTGTAGTGTGCTAAAAACCATAAGATAATTATTTTGAAAAGATAACTGTGGACAAAATAAGATGGAGTAATTTATTTATCTATATGTTCAGCAACTATTTATTGAATATCTACATTTAGCCATGTATCTTGGTGGGTGCTATTGCATTTTGATTACTAAGGTGCACCTGATCCAAGTCACAGTGTTTTCAACTGCCTCTTCTACATGCAAAAGAAGAACAATAAATAAGGACGTGGAAGAATTGATGGTGAAGAATATTGATTATGCCAAGGACTGCCAGAAGAACAAATAAATCTGCCTTGGAAGATATGCAAACAGAAGGTTCCATAGAAGCAAGGTTGGCGAGATTTCCTCTCACATACTTTGGACAAGTTCTAAGGAGAGGTCAGTTCCTAAAGAAAAGCATCTTGCTTGGAAAAGCATTGAAAAAGAGGAAGAAACTCAAAGAGACGGAGAGACACAGTGACTACAACAAGGGGCTAAAACCCAGCAGAGATTGTGAGGAGGGCCAGGATTGGGCAGGGCGCCATTCTATTGGACATGATTGCTATGAATCAGAGTCTATTCAATGGGATCTAGCAACAAGAACAAAGAGTTACAGTGTTTAACATGGATAGTCAGTCCTTTAGAGAGCTTAGAATCCTGGAAGGAAGGAAAACCCCATTAAACAGACTATTCAGTGGGTAACTGACTACAATTATCAGCACTACTGAGGAAAGAGAAAAAACCACGTGAGCATATGCTCAAGTATACCTCTAATGGGAGCATCGGATCTTGATGGTTCTTTCCTCCAGGATGGGACAAAAACCGTGATGGACGTGTGTCCTCTGCCCCTGAACCAGTCCACAGCCAGCTGGATTCCTCGGCAAGAGAAAGCTTCTTTATTTCCATGGCTACAATGAGAAAACAAAGAAAGCCATAAGACATGAAAGAATTTCTAAGGAGTGATTTTTTTTCTTGATAATATTTTGGATCATAGTCATAGAATTTATAGAGTGTCACATAAATCTGGATTTTAAAATCGTTCCTTCTTTGAACATAGTATATTGCTTTCATTAGAGCATGTAGCTATGATCAATATGTAGAGGGGTTTAGGCTCCAAGGAGAGGAAATTCCAAAAATTAGTCGACCAGGAGCTCTTGTGGCTTGTCATTGCTCTGTTGAATACCGTCAAGTTGGAACCAACCTATAGCTGACCCTCCATCAGGATTTCAGAGGCAGTTAATCCCACTGGAGGAGATTGTTCACCTTTCCCCTGCAGAACAGCTGATGGATTCGAACTATGTGCCTTTGAAATTGCACAACTTTTTACCACTTGGCCACCAGGGCTCCCTAAGGAATTGTGCTGCCAATACAAAGACATGTGGTTCTAATCTACCAGCTTCTTTGCAGGAGAAAGATGTGCAATCTCCTCTCCTGTGGCCTGCTGAAAACCTGCCAGAGGGTCAGCTACGACTTGGTTCCAACTTGACAATACTCAACAGTAGCAATAATATTCTTATTAAAAGTTAAATGATCAGCATTAAATGAAGAAGAGGAGCTATCTGTAGATCTGTCACCCAAACAGATAACTGTCAATGTGTTGCCGAATTTCCTAGGTCCAAGCAAGAAGGTCAAGTTGTCTCACAAGTTCCATATCAGTGAGAAGAGAGCAATGTCAATGAACATTTTAAAGCCAGACAGAGTCTTGTGGAACTTGTTGTTGTTGTTATGTGCCGTTGAGTCGTTTAGGAACTTAGCAAAGATTTTTTCCCCCTCTCTCTCTTCAAAAAGGAGTGAAAAAGCATGAGAGAATTTTAAGCATATTTATTATTCTTGTACCTGGTATTTGGGCTTAAAGACTCCTAAACTCAGGAGATACTGGCCATGACATTAGAAACTGACAGCAACATGAGGTGTTTGGAATGGCAGAAGCCCGGAAGGCTTGACACCTAAGCCATCATATCAGTGACTAAATAACGGGGGAGAGGTGTTGAATAATGTAGGCAAGTAGAAGGGGATACTGGTGGAGTAGGGAAGGGGGTGGGTCAAGGCACACATTCCAAGGTCACACTGAATCTATCGGTTACTTCTATAATTGGGGACTGAAGAGCATTATGCTGAGTGAACTCAGTTCCACAAGGAAAAATACTGTATAAAACCACTATTGGGGTGGGGGAGTGTAGAAGTAGAGGGGTGAGGATGGGTGGGGAGTGGGGTGGGGTGTTAATCACAATTTGATGGGTGGGGGAGTGAAGGAAATGGGAAGGATCTTTCATGAAAAACAATGTATTCAAGTTTTGTAAATTACTCAGTATAAAATTAAAAAATAAAATAAAAAGAAGAGGTAAAGAGTATACAGAGTCATTGAACCAAAAGGAATTGGCAGACACTGAAGAATTTCATGTAACAACTTATGAGCAAGAGCCTGTGGTGATGAAGGAAGAAGTTCAAGCTGCTCTGAAAGAATTGGCCAAAAACAGATGGAGTACCAATCAACATATTTCAACAAAGAGATGTTACCTTAGATGTGCTCTCCAAATTGTGCCAAGAAATCTGGAGGATAACCACCTGGTCAACTGATTGGGAGAGATCTGTATTTGTTCCTCTCCAAAGAAAGAAGACTTGGCATAGTGCAGAAATTATCAAACAGTATCATTAATATCACATGCAAGCAGGATTCCGCTGAAAATGATCCAAAAACAATTTGAACAGCACATCAACAGAGAACAGCCAGAAGAGGCTGTGGTACTGGGGATATTATGGCTAATGTTAGACAGATCTTGGTTGAAAGCACAAAGTACCAGAAAAATGTTTATTTGTGTTTCATTGACTATGAAAAGGCATTTGTGTGGATCATAACCAACTGTGGCTAACTCTGAGAAGAACAGGAATCCCAGAACATTTGATTGTGCTTATGCAAAACCTATACTTGGACCAGAGACAGTTGCCAGAACAGAACAAGGAAACACTGCATCGTTCAAAATTGGAAAGGATGTATACCAGAGATGTGTCCTATCTTTTCAACTTATATGTGGAACAGATCATCCAAAAGGCTGGCCTCTATGAGCAGGAGTGTGGCATCAGGATTGAAGGAAGACTTGTCAACAACCTGTGTTACACAGATGACACAATCCTGTTCATTGAAACTGAGGATGACCTGAAGTGCTTACTGCAGAAGGTCAAGGATTGTAGCCTTAAATACAGATTGAAGCTCAACATCAAGAAAACAAAGGTTCTCATCACTGAGCCAATTGGCAGCATCATGAAAGATGGTGAAAAGATTGATATTGTTAATAGCTTTAGTTTGCTTGGTTCCACAATCAGCACTGTTGGTACCAGCAGCCAGGAAATTTAGAAAAACAAATTGCATTGAGAAAGTTGACTGTCAAGGACCTCTCCAAAGTACTCAAGAACAAAGATGTCAGTCTGGAGACTAAGGTGCACCAGATCCAGGCCATAGTCTTAATAATTAATTGCTATGCATCAGAAAGCTTGACAACGACGAGGGTTGATAGAAAGAAAATTGATGTCTTTGAGCTGTGGTGCTGGAGAAGAGTATTGAATATAACATGGACTGCATGAGAACAAGCAAGTTCTTCCTAGAGAGGGTGAAACCAGGCTGTTCCTTGGAGGCAAGGATTCTGAAGCTTCATCTGACATGCTTGGACATCTTGCAAGGAAGGACCAGTTCTTGGAGAGGGACATCATGCTTGGAAGGGTGGAGGGACAGCACAAGCGAGAAAGACCCTCAATGAGCTGGATTCAGTAATTGAGGTAATGAGGGTAGATGTATCAGAGACAATAAGGTTGTCACAGGATAGAGCAAGTTTCAGGGCTATTGTACATAGTGTCACTATGAGTCACAAGTGACTTGATGGCACATAACAACAACAACAACGTGGCCGCAGAAAGGAGAATAAATCAGAAGGGATTTAAGAATTAAGAAGCTGGTGGGATTGTAAAATGTACAACCACTCTGGAAGACAGTTTGATGTGCGCTCAAAAATTTGGACATAGGAACTCTATATGAACTAGCTATTCCACTACTAGAAATATACCGGAAGGAAATCAGAACTGAGACACAAATGGAGATCTGTACAACAATGTTCACAGCAGCATTATTCACCATCGCGAGAACATGGAAATAGACTAACTGTCCAACCACAGCTGAATGGATCAAGAAATTGTAGTACATTCACATGACAGAATACTATGAACTCAGGAGCAATGACTTCGAAAATTACTTCATAACTTGATAGAGAATGGAGAGTATTATGCTGAGTTAATTCAGTCTCATAAGGACAAATATTGCATAAAACCATTATTGTAAAAATAGAGGCATAACTAGTAAAACAAGTATGGGGATCCAAGGGGGGAAGGTATGGGTGTAGAGGGATGAAGATGGGTAGGGGTGAAATCACAGGGTTTCAGAGTTTGGTGGGTGGATGGAGGGTGTGAAGGAAATGGGAAAGATCCAGCAAGGACCTGAAAAGCCAGGGTAATAATGGGCATAGTCCATTGGTGATTAATTTTATGAAATATAATGAATGGGAATGATTATATGGAACATAACATGAATGGTGTGAAATACAATGTATACAAACTTTGTAAGCAAACAAAAAATTTTAAGTAAATAAATGTCTTGAAAGAAAAAAATAAAAAGAAGCTGCAATCACAGTCAAAACAGTAAATGACAAAGGTCTGCAACAGTTGGTGATAGATGATAGAAACGAGTATTCAAATTTAACGGACATGTATAAGGTAAAATCTCCAGAACTTAGTAATTGATTGAATGGGTACGGGAGGAATGGAGACGATGTCATTGTGAATGCCTCCAGATCTCTGGCTTAGACAGCTGGAGAGTGGACCATTCACTGAGATAAGAGAAAGACCAGGAGTTTGGTTACGGTCATGTATTGAGTTGGGGGGAGCCACTGTAGACGTGGAAGTGTTCAATAAACAGCAAACATTCAGAGAAGAGATTTTGGTGATAAAATTTGCAAGTCATTTGATTTTAAGCAATGCTTAAAGCCACCATGTAGACAGAGTGGCCTGATTGCCTGAGGAGAGGGCAAACGGACTAGGGCTGGACTTTGGGGGACTCTGAAATTCAACAGGTGGCTTCGGTGGAGTTGTTGTCAGGGTCTGTGACGTCAACTCCACCTCAGGGTGACATTATGTACAGCAGACTGAAGCCTTGCCTGATCCACATCACCCTCACAATTTCTGCTGGGCTTAAACACATTTGCAGTCACTGAGTCAACTCATCCCATTGAGGATATTCCTTTCCTTCATGGACTCCGTCCCTTTTCCGAACATTATGTCCTTTTCTCTTTTTATTATTTATTATTAATTTCAAGGAAAATTTACAGAGACTTTGGATTTCGAT